CGCCGATTTCGTCCTTAACCGCTTGAATATGATTTTCGCAGGATAGTTTTACTTCTTTTGCTTGGTTTTTAGACTTTTGTTCTAAATCTTTTAACTCTATCGTGCATTCACTTATTTCTATGGAGTTAGAGGAAATATGACTTTTAATATTCTTGTTAAAGTCGCGCTGTTCTTTGATGAAGGCCTCCAACTTTTCATAACGGTCATTGTGATCACTTGTTGGTTTCAAATTCAACACTGGTTCAGTAATCTCAGCACTTCGACTGTTAGGCGTTACTTCGATCAGAGTATCTTGACATTTAGTTCCTTTTTCGACAATATTCCGAAGCTTTTTTACATACTGATCCTTTTGTGAGCCTTGCACTTGTAAAGTTTTTGTGGAGGAATAGAAGTTAACGGTTACCGATTCAAACTTTAACCTCTGTGTTACCGTTGGAGTTTACGCTCACTAAATTATTCTCATCTCCTCCTTCCAGTTCAGTGATCTAAAATTCTCGTAGGGCTTTTAAGTCACTGTTCCATTGAAATTGATTCTTTTGAGGGTTAAAAACCAAATGTGGATTGATTTCAGTCGGAGCAATATCTGTCGTTGCCGCCGCCATGATGGTCAGTCATATCTTGACCCACTCCACCTGCCAGTGTGACGTCATATAGTAACAGGCAAGAGCCTCGGGTCGCTTTTGCAAATTAGCAAGGGATACCACAGTTATTAGGACGAGCGAGGTCGAGGAAAAGCTAAGAAGCTAGCAAATATCGCTAATTTGATCGTAAGTGTGTGAGCTTTAGGAGGTTCCATTCACAGATCACACATGTTTATATTTCATTTATTCTTTTGCTAATTAAACCGACCTAACTTCATATCAGTCCTTTCGAGTGTGGGCCTCTGTTGATTTCCTAATTCGCCACCAAATTCAGTAAAGCTAGTTTGATGGATTATCTACATCGATGGGCCCGTTGAACCGCAAATAATGCGAAATAGCTTTGAAATACGCGCTTAAGCTAATTTTCCTCAAATGTATATTTGAATTAATGATAAATACAGCTCAACCAGCTTCAAAAAGCGTCTATGCAGAGAAAAATGGTTTTGATATAACCAACTTAATTTTTTCAAAACAAGTATGTGTGGCAGTGTGGTGCAGCGGTCAAGGAGTTGCTTGCAGCTGCAGATGAACTGGTTTCGACTCCCGGCGACACCTCATTTTCTGTTTCTTTGTATGGTTTTTTCTTTTTTTTTTTCTGTTTAGTCTTTGTTTTTTAGCTCGATTTTTCCTTTTGGCCTGTTTAATTTTTCTTTATTCGTACTGCTGACCCTGCTTATCATGCACTTGGATCAATATATATTTTTAAGCTTTAGTCCGGAATTATATTTTAGAAAAGGGACTAAACTAGTACACCACAAACTTTTCTTATTTACACCCAACAACCTCTGGCGAAATTTAACTTGCCTCTTGTTCATCGTCTTAATCATAACAATGTTATTACCGTAAAATCTCCACTGGGTTTACCCCAAAATAATAATCAAACGAAGCCTTTTATTGGTGTTTGGGATTTAGTTATAGAATTACAGGTGTATGCCCAATACAGTATTAAAATGCGGTAAAGCAACAAGATTCAGTGCTCAGTCTCTCACAAATACCCGTCATTTATCTTCTTTTTTCAACGCTACCAGCTAAGCGAACTTTGAAAGGATTGATACGGGGTTCCACTAGCTCTGAAGAGCTGAAAGTACGCACAATGTAAAGTATAATATATCATTTGATGAACATCCTAATGCTGTGCCAACATTCTTTCATCTTGCTGTGCACTGGCCTTAAAAAGTGTGACCTGTCGGTCGGTCTGATCGATTGCCCGTAAAATTTGCTAGACGATAGAAAGAAATCTTAAAATTCATTACGCCACTGGACGTTTCATTCCAAAAAAGTACCAAAGTCTGTTTTTCTATAACACTGAGAGCTCTCAAAATCTCCAGATCCAAGAAATCGGAACAGTATTGCCGTGATAAATTCGAAATTTTTATTCGTCTTTTCGATGAACACTTTGTTCGCCATTTTGAAAGTCACCGACGCGAGACGTGACGTCATACTGGCAGGCGGACTGAACCACCGATTTCCTTGGAGACATCATCCCCCCACCCCCCTCCCTTCTGATCTCTGATCTATGATGAATTTCATGTGCCTGATGTGCTCATTGTGTTGCTGTACAGGTGAAGACTAAACTCTCAAGGGTACTGATTCAAACAAAATCAATCTTACGAATTATCGATGAGCGATTCCCGAAACTATACCTGGCAACTTTATAAGCATATCCATGTTATGCAGCACATTTGCTGGACATTTGCTTGCTGCTGCTGCTGCTGCTGCTTATCTCATAAATTTGAATCGACTACGACAACACTACTCTAGTTGATTGCTTGTTTTCACGCGACGATTTTGATTGTTCTGTCATTTACACATGGGGCATCGATAAAAGAAAAGCTGTGATTGGGGACGGTCACCATACCGCAAACGTGGCGCGAACACCTTTAAAAAAATGGTAGCTGAATTCTAATTGGCTAACCGCGGGAAAGGTATTTGGTTCGATTCTCAGCGGCCGTTTGTGGGGAGGAGCGTTGCGTGACGACACTAAAAAAGGCCGTGTAGCGGACTAGTTGGAGGCACCCGTTGTCTCAACTTTCAGAACTTAGTTTTCGCCACTTATGTGTTTTTTGGAAAAGCTACTCCAGATCTAAATTTTTCTAATAAAAGAAATAGTACGATCATTAATGGATGCTGCTTTTCTCGGTCAACCATCTTATCTTGATCCCATCGTAGTACAGAATAGGGGGTTAATTAGTTACTTCCTCTTGTTTTTCCGCGTTGTTTAAGAGTTAGCCGAGGATGTACCTTACAAGATGATGAAAACATGCCTGAGCTCTAACGTTATCCACAATACGTGACTACTGAGATCTTAGATTTGAATAAGTAAGTAAATAATAACTGAATAAACAAATGATTAGAAATTATTTTTTTAAAAAAATGCGAGTAAAAATTTCCTATAACTTACTGCAAATTATAATCGTACATTACTAAACAATATTCTTTTTTTTTTTTTTTTTTTTGACTAAATTGGTAGTATCAAAACTAACGGAAAGCGAGACAGGAATTCGAAGAACCAACCTGAACATTTGTAGCCATTTCCAATGTACCCTTGTTTGCAACTACAGTTGAAGGACCCATCAGTGTTGGTACAGGTGGCATTTTCACTACAATTGTGAGAGTTGTTCAGGCATTCGTCTGTGTCTGAGTGATAATTTTAGTAAACGTTAAATTATTCTGCCTGAGCAAACAAGTAGACAATATAGTGACCTGTCAGTAAAACAGATATTTTGAGAAAGGGAATGTGTTTTAACGGTAAACTATATGATTGTTATATAGTTTACGGTTAAAACACATTCCCTTTCTAAAATCTGTTTTACTGACTTGGCAGGAATATTGGTCGCATTATGAGCCATAATATTTCTGTCCAGAGTAAAACTGAGCAAGCGATTTTTGTAAAAGTGTAAGTACTGTTTTTTTGGGTGAATGAGAATGACTTCAGAATTTTTCCGCTGACTATGCCACCCTTCAAGACTTGAAAAAGCTGTTCCGGATCTCTCTTTTTCCAATTAAAGAAGTAGCACGATTATTAATTAATGGATACTGTTTATCTCGGTCAACCAACTTAATATCTTACACTCCTATCGTAGTACAGAAAAGCGGGTTAATAGTTACTCCCTCTCATTTTTACCCGTTGTTTAAGACTTATCTGAGGATGTATTTTTAATTGCATGATGTCGCAAGTAATTAGAGATGAGCTCTGACTTTATCCACAATACGTGACGACTCAGAGATGTTAGATTTGAAAAAGTAAGTAAATAATAATTGAATAAATAAATGTAATTATTTTAAAAAGAGCGAGTGACAATTTCCTATAATTTGCTGCAAATTATAGTAGAACTTTGATCGCTGAACATTTAATTTTTTTTTTACTAAATTAGTAGTATCAAAAGTAAAGGAAGACGAGACAGGAATTTCAAGAACCAACCTGAACAGTTGTGGCCATTTCCAATGTACCCTGGTTTGCAACTACAGTTGAAGGACCCATCAGTGTTGGTACAGGTGGCATTTTCACTACAATTGTGAGAGTTGTTCAGGCATTCGTCTGAGTCTGAGTGATAATTAAAGTAAATTTTAAATTTATTCTGCCTGAACAAACAGGTAGTCAATATAGCCACCAGTATAATATAATTATTTATTATAGCAGGGTCCCAAAGGGGTTTGGGGCTCCGGGGCTCCGGACTCAAAATAGCGGGGCTCTGGCGCTCCGGACCAAAATAAACAGGGCCAGGGCTCCCGAAAAATTGATCAAGGGCTCCAGGCTCCGCTATGCTTTGTTGCTCTAATCCAAAAGCAAATCCAAGGATTGAGGAAATACAGCAATTTCTATTTTTGAACGCTGTTTTTATAAGTTTTTCTCCACTCTACTTGTGTTTCACAGTTATCTAGAGTTATTTATTAATCATGATGGATGCGTTTATTATAAGGTACAAATGTCTCTGGTTCTCAGAGGATCTTCTACCCTTTCATTTCACGGATTCTGGTATTGAGAACGTCAGTGTAATATCGCAAGGAATTCTAGAGTATGGCATTGCCTATGTTGTTAAGAGGGGACCGTAAGAGTTCATGAAGAGTGGTATGAAAAGATAATGCTCTTCTCTCTTCGGTCGTTGGTAAAATATTGTTTTACCACTCGAAAATAAAATTCATATCTTCGCGCCACCGTGTAATATCCTCCATATATAGTCAGTAACGGTTAAAACACATTCCCTTTTTCGCATTGATTTCAGAACATGTCAGCAGTCACCTCTCAAACTAAGGCGAATTGTCGAGAATTGTTTTAAATGGACTTGAATAAACCCAAAGAATTTTACCTGTACAATTGTATCCATCGCCTTCGTACCCTGGCTTACAGGAGCAAGAGAATCATCCTTGAGTGTTATTACACCAAGCATTTTCATGACAACTATTATTTGCAGCTTTGCACTCATCTATGTCTGAAGAATAAACCCAGTAAATGTAAAGGTGCTGGTACGAGAAATGATGAACATAAACACTGCAAAAGTGCATTATCTGTCGTATTAGAGGAATTCCACAACAAAGTGTTCGTCTGATTATTGAAAGAATATAAAAGCACTGCAAATCAGTTACAATAAACACTTTTTTGTTTTGAAAACTCGCTGCCAATTTGCTTTGCACCAATAAGAAAAGAACCGCATATATTTAACTTTGGTTTCTAACATAACACGAGGCGTAAAGCATATCATATCAGTAAAATTGTATTATTATATAGATACTGATGAAATACCAGGATTTTTCCTATTACTAAAAAATCATATCTTCATCGCTCGCACTGAAGATACTATTTTTATCTTTCAAGTGTGAGGATATTGGTGTCGCCATGGTTACTAACATACGCTTTTGCTGTTAAAGAATTTTTTTTCTTTTTCATTAGAATTTTGACTTTTTGGAACAGAAAATATAAGTATTATTGTCTTTATTTCTCCTTTATATCTTTATATCCGAGTTTCATAACATTTTTTTTCTGTGCTTGTGTGCCTTTTATTTCACTTATTTTTTATAACCAAAATTACTCAAAACTAGAAGGTAACAGATACAAAAAAAAAGTCACGGTGAAGAAATCTGCAAACGGTTAGACTTTCTAGTCTTCCCGGCTAAGGAAGATAAATCGTAGTCCCCGTCTCACAACCCTGGCACAAATAAATTCTTTGGGACGATAAAGAACCCACGTACTGTTCGTAAATAGGTGGGGACGTAGTCCCCGGTGTGGTGGTCTATTTCTCATGAGGGAAGGAACTGTTACGGGCCCCAGTAATTCAGTGAGGGCTGTAACGGTGACCCTGCAAGGATTGGGAGCCTAAGTAAATATATAAAACTTCGCAAGCACCCACCTGCACAGCTGTGGCCATTCCCACTATACCCTGGTTTGCAACTACAGTTAAAGGAACCTTTGGTGTTAATGCAGATGGCATTGTTGCTACAATTGTGAGAGCTGATCTGGCATTCGTCTATATCTGAATGTTAATTACAATTTTAGTTAAGATGCATCTTGAATGAATTCTACGCAGGACAGTATGTGACAACAAAGATATATTATGTACTAAAGGTTATGGAATGCGGACGACAGCGAAGGTCTGACATGATGCTCTTGCTCAACCAATGCTGTGCTTTGCGTAAGTTTTAGTGATAGAAAATCAAATCAGGCGTAATCAGATAACGAGTGATAGACTGAGGTCCAGACGAGCGTTATCAGATTGCGACTTCTGCATTCCATTGCATTGTTAGTGGAAGTCCAAACGAAGCTGCCTGCAATACGTACAGTGCAGGGGTGATGGCGATTAGGATTGCGGGCTACTCTTGTCACTGGCCGCATTTACTCTTTGATCAAATATATCTTCTTATAATAACACTCGGTTGTTAAACCGCCTTTTTACGCATTGTAAAGTTCGGCTTATAAGCCCTGCGTAAATACATTTTCTTAAGGTGTTTTAGGAGGGTTTATAAATGGAGGGACTTTGATCCGATGATAGTGTTTAGTGGCACATTATTAAAACTGGCGATTCAAGCCCCATATTCACAACAGAACTGTGGCAGAGGTACCGCAATAGTGACGCCTTCGTTGTCTCGACAGTGTCGAACTTGAACAACATTTGCAGAGGGAAAAATTAGATCAGTAACCCCTTCATTTAATAGCCACCTGCTTTCACAAGTTTTTGAGGTAGATCATCACTTTAAAATGATCGTGACTACGCAAATTTATGGCAATTTTTAGGAGAGCTTCATATAGTTTGGAGCTCTTAAACGAATTCCAGGCCTCGTAGTGCCTGATACAATATTGCCCCCAATAGGTTTTCAAGATTCGAAATTTACCATATTTGAAACTCGGGACGCGGGATTTTAAGAAAAATCGGGGTAAGATTCGGGATTGAAAGCATCACGGGAGGTGGGATGTGGAAAAATAACCCTCGGGATTACGGTATTGCATGAAATTTTGGGTCGGGATTACAGGAGAGAAGAACGGTACTGGGCAATCCTATTATGTACCACTGAAAATGATGCACCATGCTCTATTACCATCATAAATAGCTTACAATAAGTAGAAAGTCATATATGGAGAATAGGCCTAAGTATAAATTAATTATAAAATGCCTCTCTTACAACAGTCTCCAGAAAAGTGCCGCGAATAATGTGAGTTATATCCCTAAATCTGCAAACATTCTGTAATACATTAGCAGGAGATGTCTTCATAAGGATGCTTTGCAATTAGGTGAGACAAGGTTTTTCTGATTTTTTACCTAGACGAAAAAACATCGAAACCTTAATTTTTCTATAGCTGTTCGTTTATCCCTCACGCGCATTTTAAGACAAGTTTGAAATGGTCAGTTACTATGGATACGAGATATGACGTCATAAGTAGCAGGTGGTCAAGCCATTTTTGAGTGAAAATGTATGTTTTTCAACTTTTTTCAGGAATAAAAGAAAAACGTCTGGATAAAATGATGCACAGTAATTTTTTATGTGTTGTTTTACTTGTTAAGCGCAAAAAAAATTATTAATTGTCACCGTTTTTACGTGATTCCTAGTTCTTGAAAAAATGCAAGATGGTTACCATGTTTGGTGACGTCACAGACCTTTAGCAGAGCCACCACAAATAAAATATACTTCATCTTGTAGAGAATTAAGGTCAAAGGCTTTCCACTGAAGCCAAGATCGAAACAAGGGGAGGATCCATCAACCCCAACCCCCGGGGCTCATTGTACCAGGCTGAGGGTATGACTTGCGTGTACGTCCGAGGGTTAAGCCGGCGTATAACAGCGAATGGAAAGAAATTTGATATGGGCTTGTTGATAATTTAAGGCACCTGTTACAGTTCCCTCATGCGTGGGGCGGGGTTTTTCACGCAACAACTTAGCTCCCTTCAGGAAAATAAAATTTAGATTCAAACAAAGTATGTTATACGGGGGTTACTGCCATATATGGGCTATATAGGTATGTGCCGCTGTGAAGGGCATGGTTTTCAAGCAGTTTGCTTTAAGATAGGGTATAATATATAGATTTAGCCAGGGCTAAAAGCGAGGCTCCCATTAGTAAATTTATAATTTAAATTAAACAATAAACTTGTATTCGAATTCCACAATTCAGTTAACTTTAGAGCACATTTATGTGACTTTTGAGGGAAAGGCTACCTGATTTTAGAGAAAAATAATTTGCAAACAGCCCAAGAGTGAACCAAATCTTACATCGAGTTGATAGCCTCATATGTACACTCAAAAACTGGTAATCATCTTTTATCACATTTAAGAGCCGTAATGGCTATTGATCACCGTAGATCAATTAGGCTTAGAAAAAAAATCAGGCCAACGTTTTGGCGTTCGACAAGTTTACTTTGCAAAATCTTGCCAACCAATCTGGGTGCGTGTAAACCAACCTTTTATACCATGGACAGAAAGCAGTATTTCACAATACAAATTGCTCTCATTCAATATTCATAAACTGTTAAAAAAATTTTCCAAAATCACCTATACGGCCATCCGGTTCTCGCTTTTGTAGTGCGAGCTGTAGCGAGTGTTTGAATGAACATTAACAGAGTTACGCTCCAAGATAATAAAGAATTTATCACGTTTATTTTTTTGTTTGATGGTTTAACGCGCGGCATTTTGAGAACTCCTGCAAGCGATGTTCACTGAACGACTGAAAACAATCGGCATAGCGATTAAAATTGCAAGAGAGACTACCAACAATCAATAAAAGAAATATAATTCGGTGAAACATAAACAGAGACAACAATTTTCATTCAGGAAGACAAGTATTAAAGTGTCCCTAAATATCCTGAGTCTTCAAGCTTCAAGCTTAAGTTTGCTGAAGTTTATGTTTTAAGCCAGCTTCCCGGTGTTTGTTTTTTCAAAGACGAACTCGAGGCATGAAAATCGCTCAAAGCTTTCTTTTCCGGCTAGAATTATAACTAAAGATTCTTTGGAACATTTTCTTTCTATTTGCGGTGAGAAACTGTCTAAAGGCTTTTTAAAGTTCTGTAAGATTATATCAAACCAGATACTCGGTGAGATCGTTGTCTCAAAACTTACAAACGCGCATAAACTAAATTCCCGCATAAACTACGCTCCACTTCATTAAATTAGATACAAAAAACAAACATGAAATACAATAATTTCTCTGGCTTACCATTCGAGATGCAGCTCCTGAAAGTTATCAGGTAAAGCCAGTATCGCTTCAGACTTTGCAATCCTCTTACGCATTAAGCAAGGTGAAAACGAAAACGATGCCATCCGAAATCGGATTTCCGACTTTGACAAGCGACGTTTTCTCAACCAAAAACCCAATAAACAAACTAGCCATGAGTAACAGAAGACTCCTGATAGCAGCTGAATTTCATTTTGTACATCCAGTGGAAAAAGACAGTTAAAAACATCACAAGTTGACACAAAACTCTGTCAGCTTCAGCTGTTAAAGTAAACAAGATTCAAGATGCTGCATAAATTTTGCGCATGAACTCACATGTCAAATTTTGACCAATCAGAGCATAAAAATTGGACGTAGAGCGTGACCAACGCGTGACCATTGTGAGAAAAAAAAAGCAACTGTCTTCCCTGCCTGTAACAGCTGGCTGAATTTTCACGTCCGAGGTCAGTTTGCAATCAAAATTTTAATTGTGCAGCACATAAACACAACATATTTCATATGAATTAAGAAAAAAATTGAACTTGAGCCTGCGATCACTTGAAAACTAGTTTACTTGTCAGCGGATAACTTCAAAAAATACTTGACCTCGACGGGTCGACACCTGAGCCCGCGATACGGTCAAGTGATACTGGTCAGGGGTACTCTGTTTTGACAGCTGTCAATTGATCAAAACATTGATGTCCAATATGTGTGCATTATCAGTTTTCCTGTGCTCCCAAACTAGTAAAAGTATGAGATTGAACGTTGTTCGCGATCTAGTAAAACAGTTAACTGGTCAGCGGACAGCTTCCAAATAAATCACGTCACCTCGATGAGTTGACACATGAGCCCGCGATATGGTCATGGGATACTGGTCAGTGGCTATCCTGTTTGGACAGCTGTCAATTGACCATATTGTTAATGTCCTATATTAAAGATGTGGGCTTGCCAAGACACGCCTGAGACACCCCTCCCTTCCTTTTGATAGTCTCCCCTACCCCACCCATACAATCTGTAGACGCGTACGTACGTACGTACGTACGTACGCTCGGTCAATCACGTGACAACCAAACGAAAAGAGGTTGACCATATTCCATGGGTATGGGGCTCTGTCCCACGCGCGCTTCGCGCGCGCGGGAGCCCCGCTATAAACCAGAACGTTTGGGTCTAGAATAGGGTATCATTTTTCAGGAAACTGATCAGTTGGTTGACGATTTTAAGGTAGAAGGTTTTGTTTTGGCTAGACTGTGCTAGTGACCTCAGTAGTTTCTGGAAAACAGCTACTCTTGGATAGGGCGGATTTGGGGAGTTTACTCTAGTATAGGGTAGCAAAATTCACCTGAACTAGCTCTGGTATAGGTTAATGGATCCGTGGTCCCAGCGGCACATCCGAGGCAGAAATTCCTAATATTTGCTCAATTAAGTTTCCGTAGTTGTCGCACGTTACTCTTTTGTTGTCGATGAAAGTCACACTTAGATCTGTGCATATGCTTTCGTAGTGACGGTTGATTTCATCAATAAGCTGATTTTTACTGTTATCCCGTGGGACGTAGGTCAGTCCTGAAATTGCTATATCGTACTATTCAGCCATTTATGCTTTAGGTTGACAAGCCAGTTTTCCATGTTTGTTCTGATTTCATTTGCGGTCAGTTTGCCGACATCATTTGTACCGGAATGGATTACAATGTTATCATAATCATTTCTTTCCTCCATGTGGTTGATGTACTGGCTTATTTCCCTCGTTCCCACAGCGATAGTTTGTTTGTTTACATAACGGTTTGGGGCGAACTTGCGTTGCTGTATTCCTCTGATCGTCGAATCTCCTAATAAAAGCATCGGTCCCTTTGATGATCGCTCATTTATTGGGCTGTTCACATGATTCTGATTTGAGGAGGATGTAGAAGCAAGTTGATCGTTGGGCTGGGAGATTGGTGGTTGCGTTCTTGTAGCAGTGAGACTTGAAGTAGTAGTAGATGATGGATTAGGTTGCGTGTTTGGTGGGATAGATTCATGCAACGATCGAGCGATTTTCCTCGACTAGAGTTTCATACCTGTTTGACGTAGCTGCTGTGTACGTGTACTCAATTGAGTCCGCTATTACCGTTGAAAGTTGTGATGCAGGGTCTTGATGGCTTGTTTCTTGAAACTGTGAGATGAGTGCTGTTCAGATATATACACTTGATTTGTTGTTGTCATTGAGTTGTTGTAAAATGTGTTTGTTCGAGTTCTCAGTAGATGATGCTTTAGTTTTCAGTGTTTTTAGATCCGAAGACAGTTTGGAGGATAGATTTGCAATTTGCTTTGCTAACTTTTGCACCACTTCGCCGATTTCGTCCTTAACCGCTTGAATATGATTTTCGCAGGATAGTTTTACTTCTTTTGCTTGGTTTTTAGACTTTTGTTCTAAATCTTTTAACTCTATCGTGCATTCACTTATTTCTATGGAGTTAGAGGAAATATGACTTTCAATCTTCTTGTTAAAGTCGCGTTGTTCTTTGATGAAGGCCTCGAACCTTTCATAACGGTCATCGTGATCACTTGTTGGTTTCAAATTCAACACTGGTTCAGTAATCTCAGCACTTCTACTGTTAGGCGTTACTTCGATCAGAGTATCTTGATATTTAGTTCCTTTTTCGACAATATTCCGAAGCTTTTTTACATACTGATCCTTTTGTGAGCCTTGCACTTGTAAAGTTTTTGTGGAGGAATAGAAGTTAACGGTTACCGATTCAAACTTTAACCTCTGTGTTACCGTTGGAGTTTACGCTCACTAAATTATTCTCATCTCCTCCTTCCAGTTCAGTGATCCAGAATTCTCGTAAGGCTATTAAGTCGCTGTTCCATTTAAATGAATTCTTTTGAGGGTTAAAAACCAAATGTGGATTGATTTCAGTCGGAGCAATATCTGTCGTTGCCGCCGCTATCATGGTCAGTCATATCTTGACCCACTCCGCCTGCCAGTGTGACGTCATATAGTAACGGGCAAGAGCCTCGGGTCGCTTTTGCAAATTAGCAAGGGATACCACGGTTATTAAGACGAGCGAGGTGGAGGAAAAGCTAAGAAGCTAGCAAATATCGCTAATTTGATCGTAAGTGTGTGAGCTTTAGGAGGTTCCATTCACAGATCACACATGTTTATATTTCATATATTCTTTTGCTAATTAAACCGACCTAACTTCATATCAATCCTTTCGAGTGTGGGCCTCTGTTGATTTCCTAATTCGCCACCAAATTCAGTAAAGCTAGTTTGATGGATTATCTACATCGAGCGGCCCGTTGAACTGGAAAAAATGCAAAATGGCTTTGAAATACGCGCTTAAGCTAATTTTCCTCAAATGTATAAATGAATTAATGATAAATACAGCTCTATCAGCTTCAAAAAGCGTCTATGGCTTAGAAAAATGGTTTTGATATAATCAAATTAATTTTTCAAAACATGTGTGTGTTTCAGTGTGGTGCTGTGGGTTCTGGGTTCGACTCTCGGCGACGCCTCTTTTTCTGTTTCTTTGTATCGTTTTTTTTTTTTTTTAATTCTGTTTAATCTTTGTTTTTTAGCCCTACTTTTCTTTATGGGCTGTTTTCTTTATTCGTACTGCTGACGTCGACCCTGCTGATCATGCACTTGGATCGATATATATTGTAAGCTTTAGTCCGGAATTATATTTTAGAAAAGGGACTAAACTAGTACACCACAAACTTTTCTAATTCACACCCAACAACCACTGGCAAAATTATACTTGCCTCTTGTTATCTTCTTAACCATAAAAATATTATTACCCTAAAATCTCCACTGGGTTTACCCCAAAACAATAACCAAACGAAGCCTTTTATTGGTGTTTGGGATTTAGTTACAGAATTACAGGTGTATGTCCAGTACAGTATTAAAATGCGATAAAGCAACAAGATTCAGTGCTCAGTCTCTCACAAATACCCGTCATTTATCCTCTTCTTTTAACGCTACCAGCTAAGCGAACTTTGAAAGCATTAAAGGGACTGGTTCACGATAATGCGCATGTGTGAGTTCTGACAGTAGCTGATTGTTTTTCAACCAATCGGAAGCGAGTTAGATGCACGCAAGTAAATTTACAAAATTCAAATTAATTGTCCGCGACGCGAGAGTATTTCCGGGCATTTGGTTTGATTTTATTTATCCCCATAATTCAAATTTTATTCTTTGCTACTCCTCAGATATATGTTGCAGCCGATAAGAATAAGATTTACAGCCCTGTCCTGCTTTGAAACAAACATTTACCAACGTGTATTTTTACGAGGTCGTACCCACGCTAACAAAACAGTCACCGATCGGCAAACAAAATTTGTAAACAAACATCGTATTACTGTTCTCTCAGTTCGCCTTATATAAACCCAGAAATACCTACAAATAACACCGGACCGGTGACAAAAACACACAACGTATGAGTATAAAGATTATCCTTAATTGAGCATAAATTTCAATTGCTTATCAGCAAATGAACAAATTCATTCGCGTTGAATCGGGTCAGTGTTCCGCAAAACAAATGTTATCGAGTAGCACACATAAAGAAACTAGATTATGAACAGAATATTCACGCAATAATTTATTTTAAAAACATCAATTCTTAATCATATACGATCGTAAAGCAAAGATACAAGGAACATTTCAAGTGTACCAGATCGGTGAAGATCGCGCGGCCTGTTGCGGTATAACTACAGGTCGGAGTCAAAAATCAAATCAAAGTTGAACGAACTCATGCCTTTAACCACTTTCCAAGTGTCGTGTATTCTTTTCGTATGCCACACAGTACTCCTAGAACCATACCAGATCGATAGGCTAAGCTTCTCTATCTCCAGAGACTCTTGAGAACGTCCTGTTGCCGGACCGCCACGATGCTCTTCTCAACCTCCATGATCAAAACATTATTTTTTGCGTCTTCTTAAAACGTAACCAGTCAAACGACACAACCACACGTTAATCACCACTACCGAAGTATAACTAGACCAGCCAAAGCGACGGATGTCCGAATAAAACGAAGGATTTTCAATGATTGTACAGGTAATGGCGATTTCGAATTTAGTGTTGACCCAACAAATTTATTCTGAAGAGACAAACTGTGCGCATGCGCATTATCGTGAACCAGTCCCTTTAATATGGGGTTCCACTAGCTCTACAGAGCTGAAAGCACTGACAATGTAAAGTATGATAGAGGAGCTCTCGCGCGCGAAGCGCGCAGGGGAGCACCATGGGTAAGAAACTGTGGTATATAAACTACCCATCCGAGAAAATTTGGTAATCACGTGACTTTACACCGACCGACCGCCCGAGAGTCCGTCCGCACCACAGGCATACCAATGTAAAATAATTCAATCAACAGGTATGGCAACCGAAATGCAACGCAATCACATGGTCGCCCGGACTTTAAGAAAGAAAAAAAACAACAATAAAGTCGTGTCTTTTTCGACGTTATTTTTGATGTTTACACTCACGTGGATAACAGAGAAAGAGCTAGAGCGAGTGATTGAAAATAAAAGAGACGATTTTGTAGGAAGAAAAACATGAAAATTCAACGCGGCGGTGAGACAATAGGGCCGTTTATACGAGAAAAAATAAGCCACGGCTTACTCTGGCCCCGGCTTATACAAGCCGCGAACACCCCGTATAAATGGTACAAAATCTACGTTCACGGCTTATTCAACCCACGGCGTGAGTTCAAGCCGCGGCTTATCCTGACCGAGGAGTTCTGGGTTGGGCTTATCCAAGGCACGGCTTACCTTGGACGTGAAAGTGTTCGTATAAACGGCACTAAAACGTTGTCCGCGACCTGTTGAGGCCGTGAACGATTACTGCGCATGCTCTGTTTTCAATTATATCCCAGACCTTCACGGCTGAGACGCGCGCTACAGTGGCGGGAAAGTGACCTGCTGCACGAGAAAACTCAAAATTTTGTCTAAACAACACCTCATCCAAATGCATCCCTGGAACATCTCTTTCAAACCACTCGATTGATCGCTGACGAACTTTTCGTCGAGGTTTCCGCACAAGTTTCGCAACAGCGCAACACTAATCTTGAACGAAATGTTAATTTGAACGTATGTAAAATATGGCGATTTTTCAAAATGAAAGCGGAAAATAAATAAACTAACTCTAAACAAAGGAGTACCTTAGCAAAACTGATTAGGACGGTGTTCTCTTTCCTCGAACGCGAGAAAAAGGTCATAAAACTGTATACATTTTTTTTCAGGGATAATCGTGGACTGGAGGATGAAATAAAGGGATTGACGGACGCACGGATGGGTAGATTAATACCAAACTTTTTGGGGGTAGTTCAAAGACTGTAGGACATCGCGGTAATGGTTTCTTTAAGAAATTTCCTGCATTTTCCAAAGGAAGTAGATTATTCGCTGATGTACGTCTCAACCACACATCACCTCGACTACTGCCAGTCTTGTATAATTATTCGTTTCTGTTTTGGGACAGAGTTACATTGTACGTCATCTGCATTTGGAATGATCCCGTGATTCAGCGTTGGTCGTACAAATTCTACATATACAATTTCCCCCCGTGTTAATAATGTGGTGATCTGTGGTTACATGAACTCATGATGTGGTTTCTTTATTCAAACTGGTCAAGAAGAGCTCCTGCACTTATATATGGGTCGAATTATGAACCATTATATTTTTATCCAAAGTAAAATTGTGCAAGAGCTGTTTGTAGAAGAGTAAAACTGGTTTGTTGTGTGAAGTGAGTGACTAAGAATTTTTTCACCCGCTAAGCCACCTTCTAAGGGCCTGTCAGTTTACATGGAGGTGGGGGACCCCATGTAGGTGTTGTATCTCGCTTAAGTGGGGAGTAACCCGACTTTCCATTTAATCTCTCATTTTAATTTTATCACGTTTACATGCTAGGTGGGGTGACCCGCCGCAGGTTACGTCACATACCTGGGATCCCCCACCTTCATGTAAACAGGCCATAAGACTTGAAAAAGCTACTCCATATATCTCTTTTTTCCAATAAAAGGATAAGTACAATCATTAATGAATGCTGCTTTTCTCAATCAACCATCTTATCTTTATCCCATCGAAGTACAGAATGGGGGGGTAATAGTTTACTCCCTCTCGTTTTTTCCGCGTTGCTTAAAAGTTAGCCGAGCATGTACCTTACAAGATGATGCAAACATCAGCTCTGACGTTATCCACAATACGTGACGACTGAGATATATGTTAGAATAAGTTATACTACTACATGACAAATTTCTGCAATTTGATTGGCTTAAAGCAGTGGTATTTCAGCTTAATTTGAAATACCTACATGAAAAAATTACAAACCTTTTGCGTGTAGTAGTATAAACAAATAATAGCATGATTTGTACGTGATATTTGGGAAAAATACCACTCGTGATATTTCAAAATTGTCTCAAATTTCACTCGCTTAACGGCTCGTGAAATTACGTATAACAATTCCGAAATATCACTGGTGGCATTTATGCGAAATATCACTACTAATCATGCTATTACCTATACTAATTAAATAATAATTGAACAAATAAATGATTAGAAATAATTATTGAAAAAAAGCGAGTAACAATTTCCTATAATTTACCGCAAATCATAATTCATAGTACATTGCTGAACCCTTATTTGTTTTGTACTAAACCAGAAGTCTCAAAAAATAACGGAAAGCAAGACAGGAATTCCAAGAACCAACCTGAACAGTTGTGGCCATTTCCAATGTACCCTGGTTTGCAACTACAGTTGAAGGACCCTTCGGTGTTGGTACAGGTGGCATTTTCGCTACAATTGTGAGAGATGTTCAGGCATTCGTCTAAGTCTGAATGATAATTTTAGTAAAAATTAAATTTATTCTGCCTGAACAAACAGGTAGTCAATATAGCCACCAGTATAATATAATTATAGTAAAATCCAACTAGTGGTCTATTATCAATGCTGAGTTCTGATTGGTTGAGCTACTTCTAGGCTATATGTTATAGCCCACTAGTAACGAAAAAGCGCCGGCTTTGAAAACCAAACCAACGGCGGTTGAATCGCGTTTTGCTAGCTAAAGCTGTTTTGTCTCGATATTTTTGACCAACTATTTGGATTTGACTAAAACAATTATTCCTCTCACCCTCCTTGCCTCTGCATGCGTCAATAGTCCATTCGGCCTTCGGCCTCATGGGCTACTGACTTAGAACCCATTCGGGCTCGAGGAATAATTGCTAAATATATAGTTTACGGTGAAAACTCATTCCATTCTTTGTACTGATTTCAGAACATGACATCAGTCACCTCCCAGTAAGGCGAAAATGTGTTAAATGGATTTTAAAAGAACCGAAGAATTGTACCTTTACAATTGTATCCATCTCCTGTAGGCAGTTTTATCTCGAACTCGTGATAAAACTGCATGCATTTTTTCTGGGATTTTTTCTTGGACGGAAGGATATAATAAGGAGTTTAAGCAGCGCCGTTTTTGAGTCACGCACGTCAACCGGAAGTGAGCCATTTTCCATTTTAAATTGCCTTGACGCTACCAAATTTGTATTACTAAGAGTCTTTACCCTTATAGAGACGATTTGCGCAAAAAATTGTTTAAAATCACGGCTCAAGAATGCAAAAGTCTACGTCCGGTTGATGTGCGTCACTCAAAAACGTCGCAGCTTCAACTCCCTCATAACCGGATGGACGAACGGACGGATGGATGAGTAGATTAATACCAAACGTTTTTAGGGTATTCCAATTTATTCCAAATACTACTGGAAATCGCGGTAGTAGTGTCTTTAAGAGACTACCGGCGTTTTCCAAAGGAAGTAGATTATTCGCTGATACGAGTCTCAACCATGCATCACCCCGAGCACTGCCAGTTTTGTATTAATTGCTCGTTTTTGTTTTGGTCCAGAGCTACATTGTTCATGCTGATCTGCATTTTGAAAGATCCAGTGATTCTGCGTTGGTCTATATTTTCGTACATTAACCCTCCGTGTCGTGATCTGTGGTTATAGTTTATATGAACTGATGTGGTTTCTTTATTCATACCCGCCAAGAAGAGCTTCTGCATAAATCCATAACCAAACTTATTATGAACCTTAATAATTCTATCCAAAGTAAAATAGTGCTAGAACTGTTTGTAGTATAACTCGTTTGTTGTGTGACTGAGAATGACTTTAACATTTTTCCACCCTTTAAGCCACTTTCTAAGAATTGAAAAATCTGTTCCGGATCTCTCTCTCTCTCTTCTGCCAATTAAAGAAGTAGACAGTACGATCACTACTGTGTTGGTCAATTCAAAGGGGTTTTAAGACGCATAGGAAACCTGGATGCCTCGACAGTTTGTCTGTGTCTTTTTTGGGGAGGGAGGGTGGGGGTAGGGGGGGGGCATCAAAAAGTTTTTAATTGATCAAAGAAAATAGAAAAAAGATTTTGCAGGACCTACCTGAACAGTTGTGGCCATCTCCCATGTACCCTGGTTTGCAACTACAGTTAAATGAACCTTTGGTGTTGATACAGTTAGCATTGTCGCTACAGTTGTGAGTGCTGATCTGGCATTCGTCTTCGTCTGAATTACAATGTTAGAATAAATGAGCTTTTAAAAATTCTGCTTCATAAAAACAGGCTATAGCAACCAGTACATTAATGTGTCACTTTGTGTTTTAAGCACATCATTTTTCTCATTCTAGATCACACTCCGGAAAAGTAATTTATATCATTGCTTGTTTCTTTAACATCATCATCATTGATCATCATCATCATCATCATCATCATCATCATCATCATCATCATCATCATCATCATCATTGTCATCATCAGCAGTATCAATATCATTATCATTATCTGCAATTGTGATAAGATGACCGTTGGAAATTAAAGGGATGAGGATTGTACCTCGCACTATTAAAGTTTTTGCTCCAACAAGTAACATGTGGTCTTTCCTGTATAGTGCCATTTTTCTTTTTAATTTTACCTTGACATGTTTTACCGTCACCTTTAAAACCCTCTTTACAAGAACAAAGGTAAGAGCCAAGCGTGTTCTTGCAGTTTGCGTTGATGTCACAAACTGGTGGCGTCTTCAAGCACTCATCATCATCTACAAATAGCATTAAACAGACGACATAATAAATGTGAGTTTTTTTCTAAATTCAAATATAATATGCAATGCATATCTGCGTGGACGATTTTTTTGTACCGGTTACTGACAGTACTAATATATGACACACCTCATTGTTATCGTATTTTGGCGTGCGCATGCACTCGATATTCCATTTCCAATAGGTTAGAAGGGAACATCTCGGAGAATTGGAGAGAGCAGAGTTACGTTTTAGACTATGCTCACACTATTGCGGATAGCTTTTTCGCAGACAGGAAAACCATACTACCGGATAAGGCTTCTGTTGACACATGAGAACGGTGATTTCAGTGCAATTTCTGTACGTGAGCGAAGCTGCGCCTCACTTATCTTTAGAGTGGAAGCCTTTCGACCAGACGCTCCGCGGAGCGATGTTCGATGTGTGTGATCGAGTTGTTAAAGTTGTGTTCCGTTAACGATCATATTATACCGGGTGGCTTTTGCAGTACAGTGTAAACAATTTAGTCTTAAGCATCTTAAAGAGACAGAATACATCATACCGTCTCGTCTCATATAGAACCTCTGCCCATCTGTCACAAAATCATCAGGTCTCGTTTCCTTGGTTTGGCTGTTTAGCTCGCACACTTTATCCGGGATGTAGTAATTGTAACTCGCACACCTGGGGTCGTTTTCACAGGTGTTCTGGCAATCAACAATGGCCCTCACTGCAAACTCCATGAAGGTGTGACCCTTAAGAGCTTTTCCAGGTACTGATCTCTCTGAAGTTTTACATAACCCGCCTGCAGCCTCACTTCCATGCATCCGGAACATGAGATAAATTGTAAAGAGAGCCAGGGACATCTTGGAGTCAGCGAATTCTGAAACTGTAATTAAAAACCTTTTTATAAAATCAAAATCAGCTTCGCCGCTACTCTATATTCGTGTTTGCAACAGATCGAGGCGGAGAAAGCGCCGCGTTCCTGGTGGGGAGTTTGATGCAGAGCCATATCTGGGGTTGAGTTTGTTGTTGATCCTTGTTTATTTTTTTCTTCCATTCAAAACACAAATTCTATAAATTTCAATCAGATTTAGGATATGGTAGAAGGGCCGCTCTGAGGATGTGCTATCACGAAAACCATTTATTTAGTAACTCGTTTCAAGTTTTCGAGACAATTTACCTCATTCTTGTAAACTCACCCTCTGTGTAAGAAACCATACACTCACGAGTGTCGAAAATCAAAAAAGGAAGAAAAAAATCATTGGTAAACTCAGCATCAAGGTTTTTAAATTTTATTTTATTTTATTTTTTTTTGTTTTTACTTAAAGGGGAACCTTTTACTCGTATTTGGCAATGTTAATCTCTTTTCGTCAAGTCTGTAGGGTGGCTTCATAGAATTCTTAGTTAATAAAAGTTTGATCGCCACGCATATAAGATTATTTTTGCAATGTTAAAATTAATGAAAATTTTCTCTCTTTCGTCAGAACGCATCTTTATCTGATGTTCCTGTGGCACTAAGGCAGAAATTTAGGACCTATCACGGGCGACTGTAAATTAGCCGCCCCTATTAATTTATCACGGACACCTCGGCCGGGAAACTGGACTCCTTTCGACTCGATTTCGTTTCAATTTTTCAGCAAGTGACGAACGCAGATCCCTAATGATTACCTCTAATTGATATTTATTTGGGAGACATGTTTATTTCAATCTGATAAAAACTGCAAACCTGTGTCTCTATATCTAGATCTAAAGATCCAAACGGGAAAGCAAGCTTTGCTGTCATAGTGTGGAAATATGATCTTAAACACACTGAGTGTTTTGGCATTTAAAGTCTCGAGTAATTTTTAGACACCTACACATCGTTCCATTTCATATATTCTGCCATAAAACTGTAAATGAGGATTGAATTGTCTTGTCTATTTACTCCATTTTAAACATTCAAACAGAAGAATTCATTATGTCGGATTTTCAGGGGCAGCTCAAAATTATGCAAACTCATATTTGCATGTTTCAGACTTTTTTGCTTAACTTGGTAACAAGGGACATAGATTCTGCAAAAACCTGTCGGGCAGGCTTTGATTTTCGAAATTAAATATTCATCGCGAGGGTTGTTAGGTGTCACTTTTTTAGTGCATGAGGTAAGAACTACCCGATTATTTCTGTATAAATCTCCTACACGTGCACTTAGGAAAAAGGACGTCTGGTAAAATTATACTTAATTGCACTTATTCTCCACCAGTTTTAAATATACCTGACTGAATATAATCTTTAGGACACACATGCTAATCTGGCAACACTAAACAAGCGTACTGAACTCGTCTCCAGCTAGCTCAGTTGACACCGACGTACCCAAGCTTATCTTAAGGTTTAATTGAACGTCATTAGTCGGTAATATTTGCGCTAGCACTTAGCATATTGTGGCTTAGGTTTCGTTTAAGCGTTGTAGGCGAGTAAGATCCGGGGGGTTCTCCCCTATAAAGGTGACGAGGGTGGTCGTATTACCTTTTAGGGCTTTAAATTTGTGGATTGGTTACCGCTTAGGGTGCTAAAACCTAAAATTACTGCTGCAGAGTTGTCTCGGTACGTTTTAGGGGCCTGCGGTAAGGTGATTATCGCCCAGGGCTATCGATCTGAAAAATGTATTTGTGCCACGGATGTAATTTGTTGTTGTTGAATTGGTACCTCTTTGGGGTGGAAATGAATTTGGGACACGCCCATAAAACGAGATTCTGGTACCTTTTAAGGGTGTTCTCGAAATTTTCCGACGAGCATCCCCGACCCTATTATAGGGTTCTCCACGTTACCCATCTGCCTATATTTCGGACTTAATTCGCGGGTGGTAGGTCGCGGCTACCATGTTAGTATTCATTCATCCACTTCTATTTTAGCTGAGAAATGGTCTTCAAAGTTACGTTTTTTGTTTAAATAAAATTAGGTAATCACTAAACAAAAAAGTTTTAAAAAGTCGTATTTCCTTCTCAAACGTGGGATCGTGATGTTTTAGAGTGCAAAAAAACCTTGAGGTAAAATTTCTTACCTGACTGGAGCGTGGTCTAGCGTGGTCATTTTGATGTGCTTGCGTCTTGTAGCACGGGCCTGTTCACGCGTAGTTAGCATGCTTGAGTCGCCCCTTATGCCAATTTAGAAATTAAATTTGCGCAGAGAAATGTTTTAAGGTTTGTGGCAAGCCGAGGAGTAAATTCAGCATCTATTTTGGTGACTCGCCTTTTTCAAAACGGTGAGTTGAAACAAGGAAAAGAAAGACTTCTCACGACTTATTTACTAAGTATCCGGCTTTAATTCCGGTTGTTGCTCCCTCATACTCCTGCTGCCAGTTTTCTGAAATGGAATAGAAGCGACTTCTTCTAGATGTTTATGTCCCCCCCCCCCCCAAAATGTATATATTTATTCGGTTGTATGTTTAAAAGACCATTTTACTTAATATTTTTTAAACTTTTTTTTCATTAAAGCGATTCTCAGTTTTAAAGGGAGTGGTTGCCTCTAATTGTTTCTCTTTAAAACAGGCTTTATCATTTTTTTTTCTTTCATTCAGTGCTGTTAAAGTAAGCCTTCGGCTGTGGGATGGGGCCCCCGTTGACAATACGACGTACAATTGACAATTTACGATTAACGTCAATAATAGGCTGAACGCTATACTTACCAGTAGGATTTTTTCCCCTGCGGATTAATTCCACAGTGTCCCGTCTTAACCAAGAAGAAACGAAGGATTTAATGAAATTGCTTCGTCCACAACAGGAACATTTAAAGCAAACTAGCTGAGGCTAATATAATACCTGAATTTCAGGCGCCAAATGCTTCAATCAATTATTAACCATAGCATCAAAGTGCCATCATAGCCGGATACATCTTGACCTTATAAGGCGATTCAATTAGCGACAAATCTTGTTATATTTATTTTAGTCAAGTTACTTAAGATTTGTTTGAAGAAGATAGGACGATATCAGCTTTGCTACATTGAGAGGATTTTAAACTGTATCATTCTGGAGAGCTAAAAGTGACATCAGTTAGGTCTACATAATACGCGGTACGCAAATTGCAATTATCCCATCCGAAAACAGACAAGTGTGAAACTAATTGAAAGTTGCCTACGAGAAGAGTATTCAAAAGATGGGCCTGGGCGTTTAATAATAATAATAATGATAACGATAATGAAAAGTTTACAATTAATATGAGGCCTTGATGTCCGGTTTCAGTGCAGGATAGCTTCATAGAAACAGATCCCTAGACTAAACCTACTGACAAACACCAGTATTTACTTACTTCATTCTGTCACCTTAGCAAGCGCTCTATTCTTTATACACCCTTTCACTTCTCCTTCGCCGCATTTGCTTTGACCAAGACAGTTACATATGACGTACTAATGAACTTAAAAACTGCCTTACTAATCGCGGTTAAAACAATACAACGGGCTTCTGACGTTCTTCCTCGTACTGACGCACTAAAAAACAAACCTAAGAAACGGACTGCTACCACACCCCTCGTCATTACATAAAATCTAACATTGCCTACTATTGCGCGCATCATTCACAAACACTCGATTTAGCGTGCTCTTAACTCAAGACATCCGACTGTTGCAGAAATGTTTTTAAACACCTTCCGTTTTAGGCTGCCGGCGTTGTAAAAAAAAATAGTGACATCCTTGTAGCCCAGCTCACAGACACTCTCACAGACTGCTGCCGGTTCTTTTCGGTGCCTGAATAGCAGGAACCACCTGTCCCAAACGGCACCCGTTAACTAACTCAGTCTAGATGCAGCTCTAGTCGTACCTCACCAACTGAGTATCGTGAATTAAAAGAGCTACTTCTACATTTTATTCAGGGGATAACCAATAACTTGGCAAAGGGATGTGGAGGAGGGTTCGGATATGTAGATTGGAAGAATTCTTTTCCAAACCTGCTGCATAATGAATTTTCTTAGCTTTAACATAAAACTTGTAGCTTGTTGGGAAAAGTTTTTTGGAAATGCTTTTTTCTTCATCACACAGCTCCTCCCTCAGAACGTAAATAGAATGCTCCTAAAGTAAAGTAGCCAGGATTTGAACATTTCCTGTCAGGGGTTGGCAATTAATTATATTACAGTTAGTTGCTTCTACTTTTAGTATATAAGCGGAAGCTTCGCTTTTAGCCTTGGCTAAATCTATTAACCCTCGGACGTACAAGGGGGGAGGTCGATGCCACCCGCACTAAGGTTTTTCTGAGTTTTTTCCTAGAGGATAAAACATCAGCCCCTGATGTTTCAATAGCTGTTTGTTCATCCGTTGCGCGCATTTTGAGTCAAGTTCAGTGATGGTCAGTTTCTAGGGTTACGAGATATGACGTCATAAGTAGGAGGTGGTCAAGCCATTTTTGAGTGAAGTTAAATGTTTTTTCAACTTTTTGTCAAGCAAAAATTCACAATTTCTCGTTGTGTTAACCTGCTTTCTGATCCTTGGTAAAATCTAAGATGGCGGCCTAGATGGCGACCATTGTTGGTGACATCACATGCCCCCAGCAGTGCCACCACCCATAAAATATATCTTATCTTGTAGAGAAGATCAAAGGCCTTCCACTGAAGGTAAAATCGTTTCGGAATACTCCAACATATCAAAAACTCTAGTTCCATCCACCCCCGCCCCCCCGCCCGCCCCCTTGTACCACGGTGGGGGTATGAATTTGTGTGTACGTCCGAGTGTTAATATTAAAGTCCTCATAAGTAGGGCGATAGTCAAATGGTGAGGTACAACTAGACCCGCCCCTGGACTGAGTTGGTCAACCGGTGCTACCAAGGCAACGACTCAAACACAAAGTAAGCCAGAGCAAACTCCGTCAGCATCCTGGCGCTGATTCATAGCGGCGTTTGTATAGCTTGTGTTGTTGTCTTTTTTCGTGTTGCATGAAAATTGATCAAGTTTTAAAAGGAAGGCTTAAATGGTACGAGAAAAGCACAAAACGAAAAGTTAATTACAAGCGCTCTTTGAGCCTGGAGCTCTAAAGTGGAACTATTACAATCTCCATAGCGGAAATTTTTGAATAGTAACGCTTTGAATCCGAAATTGTGTGGATGCTAAATACGGATATATATATATATATCCAGCCCAGTTCTTTACCATGAATACTGTATTCAAGATGGCAACCTCCTTCCCACCTTTTCTCTGTTGCTCTTGACTTTGCTCTTACCTGTCTTTACGACGCATGCTCTGTAACCAATATTCCTAGAGGAGCCCTGGGTACTAGAGTGAATCTGGATACGTGCAGACACGCAAACTCGATTTGAAAATGGATACTTGTGGGCGTGGAAATTTTTGAATCAGGAAAGAAGTAGTTGCGGATTCAAAAATACCCGGATACGTGTGGAGGGGGCCTGGATGAACGATTGGATGGTTTGCCACCAAATGAGCCGTTTCTGAGTGGTATTCAAGCAAATGACCAAGCTCCACAAAGAGCCTATCCGCCTCAGGTACATCAATGCAAAGTGTACAAATGATACTTACGTTAAGACGCTGCCAAAAAGGATGGCAGTAGCTATTTTCAGAGACACAATGCAACGAGCCGTTTTTACTAAAACAACGAAGGTTCTTTGCTTAATTTCATGTGTTTTATGCTAAGACACTTAGTCTTCCTGAACCTTTCGAAGGAATGAGCACTTTAAAAAAGAAAGGTAAATGCTAGTTTCCATATCTCAAACCGCCCTTGGATACCTTGTGATGCCTACACAAAGTTATTGCATATATGTATACATATATGAGTGAGCCCTGAGTATAGTGATTAGGGTTAAGCACTAACAATACTGATTAGGGTTAAGCACTAACAATACTGATTGGGGTTAAGCACTGACCATACTGATTAGGGTTAAGCACTTAGAATAGTGATTAGGGTTAACGTTTAGCTTCTTTTTAGGGTTAGGGTTTTCGTTACAGCAGTTAAATTACTCCATGTCCCTGCAGCGAATCCTCGGTGGTGTAGTGGTTAGGGCTCGGGAGTACTGATTTAGCATTCCGGGATCGATTCCTGCTCGTATTTCGGATTTTTTTTTCCCTTTAAAATTGAAGAGACTTGCACTTTGACGACATTTGTTGAGCAGAAACTAAGTCTCTGGGTCAAGAAACTTAGAAATTTCATGTAAGTGTGAGTGAAAAGGGAGAGGGCGGTTTGAGATATGGAAACGAGTGCTTACCAAAAATAAAACCTGCATCTGACCGGGATGGTTTTAAGGTGATTCCCTGGTTTTGCACTGCGCATCTCTTACTGCGCATGACAAGATGGCCTCCGTAAAAAAAAAAGCATGTGAAGTAACATTATTAAAATGAAGTTGACCGAAGAGAAACGCTATTGCAATTTTTGCTTGCGGGTTGTTTCTTGCCGAGGTGAGACTCAATGGGGTGGGAATGTGCATAACGTAAGCAGTACGCGTGTTGCTGAGTTCGACTTCCTCACTGAGAACCTCAATATAGTGGATGTTTAATTTGTGCTTATTCACTCTGATTTTCATTTAAACGCTTTCTTTATCACATTGTGTCCTAAATGTGATATCTCGATGTAAATTCTGTAAAAACGGATTTTTTAATACTTTCCTCCTCCTTTCGCATACATTCTATTTTGAGACTCGCCCCAGTCCTCTCTCAAAAATCAAGGAAAATGCATTTGGTGCGCACTTTCTGCAGCTCTACTGCAAAAACGAGTACGGTGACCCACATTTTTTATTTCATGATTTTAATAAGGACAGTGCTTCCTTTCGGTGGGAAAAAAATTGGCACAAATCTATGTTCAGTTTTTTGGCAGTTTCACTAAATTGTACGGATTGAGCTATCACGTGTCGAATAGCGCCTGTCCAATTTAATTCTACTTCGGAGCGTAAAGTAAAAACAAGAGCATTAAAAGGCATTTTTCTGGTCCGTACGTGGATAAACAATACATTAAAGTCAAATTCTGTGCGATACCACATACATCATTGAAAAAATCTTTCCTTTTTGTCCAGTTTTGCGCTGCGGGCGGTTTTTGTCAAAGAATCCAAAATAGCCGTATTTGTCAGCATTGTGACGTCAAAACGAGCACCCCCACTTTTTATTACCTTTTTATCATGTTCTTGACTTGTTACATCAGTGTACCAAGTTTCATCTACAATCTATGTTAGGTTCTTTCACTGGGGAATCACCTTAACTTTGAATAATCAATACTATATGCAAAGCTCGCAGCCCAAGCGACCCAAATAATTTCTATTGCTTCTTTCTAATTCGCAAAATAACATAAAAAGAGAAGGATTTTTTGTCTGCCTTTATTTGTGCTTAACAACATATTTTACATTTTTCCTCTGACTAATAGTGTGTGCACAAATGTGACTTAAATAGTACTCGAAGTCAATAGTAAAGATGCTAGACTTTATCAGTATTTCAAATAAACAGTATAGTTACCATAGTGTAATAATAGTACGATTTTAATTTATATTCACTGCATAATCGTCCTTTAACAGAGAGGTAATAAACTATAACCTATACAAAAAGCATTGGATGAAAATAAGATGAATAAAATCGCATGCCTCGGTATTAGCTGCACTGCCTCGTGTGCAGGCTTTTTCAAGGGTCTTAATGAAAGATGGGAAGGTAAACCATTGGCCTTTTTTTTTCCTTCCCTTTCCGTTTCCTCCTTTGTCTCGCTTTACTTGATAATTCAGCTTAAATACCCCGAGAACTATCACGAGCGACTGCGGACGAGGCAGGTAAATTGGATCTGAAAATGTAATCTAGTAACATTTTTAGGGGCAGACTTTTGAACAAAGGACGGCGGAATAAGTCTTCAATGCAAATAAAATAATATCAGGAATTATAATATTTCTAAACAAATTCAGTGAATTAAGGTGTTTCGATACAGTTTTTTGGAGACCGTACCGATATTTGCATGTCAATCCCCTTAAAAGTGACTTTATCCTTGTCCGATCGCTATAAAATTTTCGCCAGTGATTGGCCAGAATTGAAATTTGTCAAAATGCAGTTTTAAGTGAAATTAATACCACTATGACAACAATAAACAAAAAACGCAAAAAAATAAACAAACAAAAGAAAAAAAGCCGACTTTTGCGCAATTTAGACCTGCTACTGAAAATCCGACACAAGGAACTTAAAGTGTGGTGTTTAGCAACAATAGCCTTCGTGAGAAATAAAAAAAAAGTACATGTTTAAATTCAAATAAAACGTAAATATGTTTCAAACATTACACTTTCCATAGCCTTGATAAATTATTTCATAAAAAAAGTTCTAAATAACTCAAATTAATCTTAATTAGCGTCAGAATGCTGCTTAATATCATAATTTTGCTGCTTAGAAACTTCGGCGTATTTCTTTGTTGCGATCCTGAAAAACAACCTGTTTTCTCAGTGCATTTCACTGTAAAAACTGTATCAAAACAACCTAAGTGACGAAAATGCAAAATGACATCAGATGAATATCTGATGGCATGGAATAGATACTGTGGAAGGTTATATTGATAATTAACACAAAAGAACAAGTTGTTGGGATAATATAAATATATGTGCTAAACTATATATTAAAAATCTAGTAACTACACCAAAGTCAAGGACAAACGATAGCAGGGAAAATTCTATGTTGAGATTTCAAACCTTTGCGTTACGTCTGCAAATACAGATAAAGAATGAGAGTTGACAAGAAGGCAATAAAAAACCTATCCTCAAAACAAGGGGCAGGGACGCGCGACGAAGCACCATTAACCATCCCAAGCCCCTTGTTGAAGAGGCTTGACTATTGCACTTTGTGGGCTTATCTTTCTAATGTAGTCTGTCATTTCTTAAAGTGTTCATAAACTAAACAATTTTATTTTTTAATTAATTAATAGTACACATTACTACAAGAACCTCCCCGAAAAAATCACACGTTTTGCGATTTGAACACAATGTGATTTTTTGAAATGTGAAACGTTCACATTTACCGCCACTTTGGCACATATATTAGTCTTCTTTTGGAAGCCTCCTGGAAAAAAAGGAGCTGTGACATAGATTAAAGAAACTATGTCGTAAACAAAGGAACACTTGACTTTAGATACAAGTAAACAAGTGTAGAGTTCTCACTAGAAAAACCTCTTTCTTTAAACTGAAACTTCTGTTGAAAAGGTGAAACATGCTTGTATGATGCGTCGCAAGGAGATTTGCAATAACACTGGCGACTCTAAGAAAGCATGCACTCTCTGGCACACAGGGTATCTTGTGTGTAGTTGCGTTTTACTCATGATTTACAGAGCAGAGTGTTAAGTATTTATTATCATATTTTTGATCATGTGTTTAGTTACTCGAGCGATTACGGTGTTGTGATAAGCTGTACATGCTCCTTTTTAAGCGTTGATCGGCGACAGTTGTCTGAGCAAGAAAAGTATCTGGAGCGTACGTTACTAAATCCAGAGCCTGTAACCTAAACATCCTATTCTGACATCCATGTCCATAAATAAGCTATAGACAAGCAGTTCAGTAATAAACCATTCTAACTGCAGATTCAGACAATTAAATTTTTAGAGTTAGAAGGCTGACGTTGAGCTTTTCTATGAAGATTCCTTTTAGCAGGTATTTGTATTTCCTAATTACAGAAATTAATGCTGTTGTATTAATAGAAAAAGAAAATAAAGAAAGAGAAACTGAAAAGGAATTGATTGGAAATTTGAGTTATATCAAATGCATCGCTTCACCCTCAGTTGAACTCAGTTCGCCAGTTATCTTGCATTTAGGGGGATGGGTCAAGATAAAATACCTCCACCTCATCAGGTGAGAAGTAAACATGTTTCCCGGTCAGGATTGTGCTGCCCTTGTCCTTCACTGAAGCCGGCACAGAGTAGAAGTAGCCCAAGCTTGCTTCTGAAAATTGTTTTCTCGTTGCTTCAACATGAATGACGAGGTCCTGACCAAACTTTGGACCATAATATGAATGCCTCTCAATTGCCTTTCCTGCCTTTCCTTGCTTCACCTTGCTCACAAATGGTGCCAGGCCTTCACTATTGCTGAGGGAAAAAATAAACGCTTCGGAAGTAGCGCCATAGCCACCACTGGATTCTAACAAAACAAAAATAAAACATAAAATAGGAATTTTAAATAACATTTTTGCTACCATGTATATTTTCCTTGCAGAAGCTAGTAAAATAGCCTATTTGTACGAGGATGTTATTTTTTATATGTTAATCTGATTATTTTTAATACACAAAAAATTCGTTTAACGTAACACCTTGTCAAGGCGTAAATCACTCAGGGCAGCAGTACGAAAAAACCGAAACCAACCAATAGAAAGAAAAAAATATGGTTAAAAATCAAACCAAAAAGGAGGAGCAATTGTAATATTATTTATTAAGCTTTTCGCCGTAAAATTCTGTTGGTAGAAGCTGTCAGAAGCTGGTGGAGCTATATTTATCAAGAATTCAAAGTTACTCTATTTAAATTAAACTTTATAAGAATTTACTTGTCAAACCGCCAATTTAGCTACATACAATAATGCTTGGCATTGTTGATCTATGAAAGCGCTGAAAAAAGCTATAAACGTTTTCCAGTCAACCTAGATGATATCTTTTTTCGCTGTTTTGAGAGGACGGGCTAAAAAGTTTGTACCCTGCGAGCAGAGGCCCTTCAATCTTCCTAGATAAGTCGGGAAGATCGAAGGGCCTCTGCTCGCAGGGTAAAAAGTTTGTCTTACACGAATTAAATACCTGAAAGGTTTATTTGTAACTTAATTGAGGTCGAGGGGCTAATTCCGTTTTTTTAGCCTTGCTATCGCGTTGTTTCCTTCTTACGGACAAAGCTGCGTAAATCGACCTGAATCAGTGCATGAAATCTTGCGTTGTTTTGTGTGAAAATCTTCAATATATATCGGTTTATTTCAAAGAGCTTCACAAACCAGGAATTAATATGGCAGTTGACCGACAACATGCAGAGCGGCGGCAGCTGTAGTGTCTCTAAACTGCGTAAGTCGACGTCCTTAATGCAAAAAATCTACCATTGGAGCAATATTATCGCTTGTTTTAAATTTCTCTTATAGCATAAACCCCTTTCACAATTGCGGCCTTTTCATATATTATTTGATATGAGTGAAAATTACAAAAGAATTCTTACTTTCAAAAGAGACCAGGGAGGCTCATTTCAGTTCAGATTATTTTCTGTCATTATTGTGACTAGTGTTAAAGTTAGAGCCTTTTTAAATTTCTGTTCACGCTATAAACATTTCCATTGAATGAAAGTTCGAGTATGATGGCCAAGCGAACCATTCGGTTTTTTAGTTGGCCACCATAACACCAATTACTTTAATTTTCGTTTAAAAAATATACAAGCGAGTAACCAGAAAGAGCAAAAATAAATAGGTAAATAAATAATAAAATAATAGAACAGAAAAGAACAATTAATTACAAGAAAATAAATTGAAGTAATTAAAAGAATAAATAAATGGGCTGCTATTATATTATGAAAGAGGTCTATTGTCCTGCTGTAGACTACAATACGAGTAACGTTTTTCTTTTAAATTTGTGTTTTGGCTTGTTTAGGTGTCAGTGAACTACAATGATACACAACACTAAAGAACTGTACAATAATTAGCAGGAGCGGGGGTTGTAAAACCAGAGGGGCAGGGGTTGGGGAAGGGGGGGCACCATGTAAATTCATAGCCCAAAGGAGCAGGTTAAGAAGGAGGGTTGTAATTAATTTTCATGTGAACAAGCTGTCTCACTAACAATAATACTCATTGTGAGGGTGATTTGATATGAACAAAACATGATTTTTTTGTGATCAAAATAACAATTGTCAATAATTAGTACCAAAGCCATGAACAATCTTGGTTACATAATATTTCAGCGTATTTCTACTTAACAGAAAATGGGTGTATCCAAAGTTTTAAAAAGGGGATGTCTCGTTCTGAGACAAAAGTAACTAAGAAATGTAAAAATATTTTCAGCCAAAAGGAAGTGCCAGGTGAACCTCAGCAAATATGAAAACTGTGTGAATAGCGGCATACGAGGACAACCCCCTGTTCTATCACATGACAAACATGACGAAAGGATGACGCTAAAAGGGGTCGAGGAGGGAAAGAGATACTAGTACCTCGCGTTCTGAGTTTTGTTCCTACTGGTCATAACTCAACCACAAATCGAAGGTAATGACGCAAATGACTCAAAGCTTCAATCCAGGGATTCACAGGAGGATTCAAAAGACTTTGCTCAACCCGACTGTACTGTTTTGAAATGGTTGGCTTTGCCTCGGTGCGTGTCGGTCAGAATGAATGTCAGTGTATCCTCCAAAGGCCCATGGGCTTTTCTTAATGACGGAGATAGTATTTCTTTTCCTATCACATCGCGTAACCTTGCGATGGAATATCATTTTATCCAAAGGGAAGGAAGCATAACTATTGATCGCTTCATGTTAATGGAAACTTTTTTTTAACGCATGATCCAACCTTGGATGGGCCACTTCGCTCGAATGCAGAATCTATCTTTTTACTTTAAGAATCAGGCCGCGCGTTTATACGGGGCACCGTTTTATAAATAATGTAGCTCCGTTGCGACAAACAAAAACTTGCCAATATAATGTAGCTGTTAAAATGGATTTAAGTTGAATCTATACTTAGAATGTTGTCATTTGAACGGGTGAAACGTAGACAGCTTAAGTATAGTGTGAACGGGGTATCGATTTGCATGTCTCTGGCAAATAATTCACCATTTAGGAAATCGTATTTCTTGCTCTCTATTCAAGCATTACTTCGTAAACTATAGTTAATGCTACTACTATTGTTGGAATCATATTGCAGTTACGAGGAACAACTGCAGGAGTTTTTAACGTGTCAGTGGAACACCTGTGGCACTAAAGCCCTTTTGAAGATACTTAAAAACTTCCAAATCAAATCTTACCCCAAGGAATGTCAGTGTATCCTCCAAAGACATATTGGCCTTTCGGTATGATGGTCACAGTATTTCTTTTACCGTCGCATCTGTCATGGAAGGTCTTGGCTTTCCAACCATGTGAGGTAGCACGGTAGCAAAGAAGCCAGGAAGAATCCTCCCCAACCGCAGGAGCGCTAGCAAGAAAACGGTGAAGATGTCGAAGATAATACTGATTTCCATGTAATATTGTCGAGTTTATTGAAAATTCTGAAAATGAAAACACATGGATCATACAAAAAGGTTATTTTGGATGAGAAAATATCGATCACGGCCAGTAAATATATTCTCTGCATACCACAGCAACAGTCTCATTTTTCTTATGTCCTGCAGGTAGATTAGATAGAAATTAAGGTAGATAGGTGGAAGAGTGAATGAATGGGTGGCTGGATGGATGGACGGATGACTAACATTTCTTTAAAAAAAAAACGTGCATGCATGCATGCATATTAGAATGATACTGAACAAAGAGAAAGAGGAAAAATAACATTACAAAAGAAAACCAGTCAAGACAAACAAAAAATGCCATTAACTCTGCAGTAAACATGCAGGAATAGCAGCAAAGCCACGTGACAACTCCGAAATGAACGAGAGCGTGAAAGTGAGTAATAGCACGGTTCAGTTAAGGAACGCTAAACAAAGGATATTACCTTAGCAGATCGAATTGATTAGGTGTTCTCTTACTGGAACGCGAGATAAAACTGCATACATTTTTATGGGATAATCGTGGATCTGGTGGACGGAAGGATGTAGTAAAGGGATTGACGAAAGTGTAGATTAATACCAAACCTTTTTAGGGTAGTCCAAAGACTATTGGACATCGCGGTAATAGTGTCTTTAAGAGACTACTGACATTTTCTAAAGTAATTGAAGTAGATTATTGGCTGATATGCGTCTCAACCATGCATCACCTCGAGCACTGCCAGTTTTGTATAATCATTCGTTTTTTTTGTTTTGGGACAGAGTTACATTGTACATGCATCTGAATTCTGAATGATCTCGCAATTAAGCTTTGTTCGTACAAATTCTACAAATACAATCAGTTCCCCCGTGTTAGTAATGTCGTGAACTGTGTTAATAGTTAATTAATATGTTCTGATGTAGTGTCTTCATTTATACCCGCCAACAAGAGCTTCGGCATTTATCAGCCCACAACCTGACCTGACAGGCATATTGGTCGTTTTATGAATCATAATATTCCTGTCTAAAATAAAATTATGCAAGAGCTGTTTGTCGAAGTGTAACTGGTTTGTTGTGTGACTGAGAATGACTTCAGAATTTTTCCACCCACTAAGCCACCTTCAAAGAAAAGAAAAAGCTGTCGGCCGGATCTCTCTTTTTCCAAGAAGTTCGATCATAATAAATACTCCCATCGTAGTACAGGATGGGGGGTTAAAAGTTACTCCCTCTTGGTTTCCCGAGTTGTGCAAATATATAGAGATGAGCTCTGAGTCGTTATCCACAATACGTGACGACTGAGATATTAGATTTGAATAAGTAAGTAAATAATATTTGAATAAATAAATGAAATTATTATAAAAAGAGCGAGTAACAATTTCCTATAATATACTTCAATTTATAAAAGTACATTGCTGAACATTAACCCTAATTGTACTGAATCCGAGAAGTCTCAAAACTATCGGAAAGCAAGACAGGAATGCCAAGAACCAACCTGAACAGTTGTGGCCATTTCCAATGTACCCTGGCTTGCAACTACAGTTGAAGGACCCTTCGATGTTGGTGCAGGTGACATTTTCGCTACACTTGTGAGAGTTGTTCAGGCATTCGTCCGCGTCTGAGTGTATAATTTTAATAAATATTAAATTTATTCTGTCTGAACAAACAGTTAGTTAATATAGCCACCAGTATAATATAAGTATATAGTTTGCGATTAAAACACATTCCCTTTCTCGCACTGATTTCAGAACATGACATCAGTCACCTCTCAACCTAATCGAACTGTTTTAAATGGATTAAAAAAAAAAACAAGAAAATTAAAGTATTTTACCTGTACAATTGTATCCATCGCCTTCGTACCCTGGCTTACAGGAGCAAGTGTATGATCCTTGGGTATTATGGCACAAAGCTTTCTTGTGACAGCTTTTAAAATCTGTGTTAAACTCGTCCATGTCTGAAAAAATGCAATAAACTGGCAGTAGGCAAAGGGAAATTTATTTAGTTTGCGTCATTTCATATGATAGACATATATAGCATCACAGAGCGTCTGTTTTCAACTCCTTTGAGCCCGCGTACATACCCTCACTATAACAATATGTCTTCTCGCTCCTCCGAAGGAAAAAAGAAAGAATGCCTGACTCGACAGGTTTAAGTCCTACTGGAGGAACTGCATAGCAAAATTGTTGTTGTTGAAAGAATGCGCATGCTTCCCATGCTTGTTTAAACTGTTCGAGAAAAACAACAATAAAAAGAACTTAGATATTGGCTGCAAAAAATTGAACGTGCGCAGAGTATCATTACAGTGCAATTGTAATCGTATCCTTCGAATCTTGGCTTGCAAGAACAGTTAATATCCGTTTGCATTGTTCCGTAATGCGCTAGCGTCACATCCGTGATTTCCTTGTGAACATTCGTCTATGTCTAAAAAATAAATTTGGGCCAGTCAGTGAATATTGCCTGCACTTTTTCAAATTACACTATATGACTTCATATTGAGTTCTTACCTTTTTGACAGCGCTTAGCACTAAAACCAGGAAAACACAAACATCGATATATTTCTACTGTGAATCCGGATTGACAGTTTCCGCCATTTAAACAATGGAACTCTTCACAGGCATTCTTAAAAGAGAAACAGAGAAAATAGTAAATGAAGGAATTGAATAGCTGGATGATTAAGGGTGAAGTGATATAGTCAGTGGGAATTTTGCTTTTTATCTTAAGAAGGAGAAGAAGAAGAAGAAGAAGAAGAATGAGAAGGAATAGAAAAAGGAATGATGTTGGCGTGAAGATGATGCTGATTATGATGATGAGGAGGAGGAGGAAAAGGGAAAGGGGGATCGGGAGGGGAAGGAGAGCAGTTATTTAGGAAGAACTGACTTACATCTGCTCCGTAATAGAGGTAACCATTTTCATCTTTGAACTCGTTATTATGCCATCGATAAGTAGCTTTGTTGAACTCACATGTTCTTGTCCTCACGTGATAGTTGACACTCACGCAGTTGTGATCGTAGTAACAATGCAACTTGCAGTTCTCAAAATCAGCAACAATTTTAGTTCCTACAGTGTGGTTTACCAAACGCTTGCTTATGAAGAAGAAAGGTCCTCGGAACTCCAGTGTACGAGTATTATCTGAAACGAAAAAGAAACAAATCTATTTTGGGGGTGTGTAAATGCCTTCAAAACTGAATTTATATGGTGTTTAGTCAATCGTATGAAAACGTACGGCGTTTAATAAGCACAATGTAACACAGACAGTGTACTTGAATCAGAGATAACATTTAGTTATTTATTTGCAGATTAAATTCAATGCAGCGATATATTTAACTCCTATAACCTCAGAGATACTGTCTGAATAACCCTGCAGTTACCTTGCCTGTTTCCCTTGCCCACCCCCTCCATGTAATGTTGTGTTGCTGTCAGGCAAGTTACCAGTAGGAAACAGCAACCACCACATTTTTGTGGGGGGAATGGTGAGGATTGTTTCTTTCTGTGTAGTTTACTTCTCTCGTAGACAGTGTTTCAACACTGAATCTTGTCGCCGATTGTAGCATTTACCTCAATCATCTACTGAGGGGCTCAAAAGCAGTTTTTTGTGTTGCAATCTAATTCTTGGTAAAAACTACAACCGCTCAATCAACAGAAATGGTCCTGACGGTAGCTTTTTCGCCAACTTTGAGAGAATTTATAAGTCGTTTTTGACATCGTGTAGACAGAAATTTAAAACAAACTTGAATAAGGCACCTGTTGTCTTAGCTTTCACAGCTCAGTTTTCGTCTCTTGTGGCATGGATTTCTACCTATGGCTCCCTTAGAGTTTTTGTCTTAGTGCAGAGAACTACGTGTAACTGATGTTTAAAAGATTAAAGCTTCAAAGAAAAAAGAAAAAAATGTAATAATAATAAACATGACATGACATGACATGATATGTCAGAAAATGATTTCACATAATGGGTTCTGTTGCTATTTTCTTTGTAAAATTATTTTCCGCTTAACAGGTATTAAAATCTTAGCAATAGGCAGCTTATAAGCAAAGATGTTCTTGAACAACGCATGTCAACGGAAAGTGACGACTTTTCGCTTTTAATATGCCTTGACGCTACCACATTTGTATAGCTGTCTTTACTCTCATAAAGACGATTTCCACTGCCCAAGAATGCAAAAAGTCCACTTTCGGTTAACTTGCGACGCTCAAAAACGTCTTTGCTTTAAGCTCGCAACCTAACGCCTCTAAAATTAGTGATCGAACATAAAGGACGTTACTTGTGACTATCACGTCGTTCATCATGCAATATTGCTTAGCCTGGACCAAGGGATGACTTGAAATAAACTAAGCCTTGGAACATTACTCTTCGTTCACAATTAAATATTAATCCTTGTTATTCCGTTTTTATGGAAGTCAAAACAATCAAGTGAGAATATCAGTCGAAGGACAAGGCTGGTTGGAAGTAAGAGATAAACGGAAAAGAAAGATGGCCTAGATAAAAATCCTTAAACGATCTTCTTCTTTCTGTCTTGCGTGCAACTCGTACATTCTCAGAGGAGCTTGTGGTATGAAAAAGAACCTTGAATGACTAAAATTAATTAGAACACTTTCCAACAATGCGGGCGAAGGCAACCTAAAGAAAATAGCAGTAGGAAGAAAACGCCAACTTGAAGGGGAACGTACATGTTCCCCTTTGCTCAATTCCTTCTACCGCAAGTTAATTTCCCCTAATTGATAATAACTTGCGCAGGAAATGAGAAATTTCAGCCATGTCATGCAAATTAACACATCAATTAATAATTAATTCTTCTGGTTATAGGCAGACAAAATGACAACGAATAAAAGAGAAGTCCAGTTGCACTGTTGTTTTCAAACAATTCCTTTCCATGTTGTTAATATTGTCAATCCACCTCCTTATTAGCAAAAGAAGTTAAAGTTAGCCAAAATAAAAAGGCTAAAATAAAGGCTAGTGCGTGAAAGACTATTCGTAAAACTGAGTACAGTTGTTATGAGAATTATTTCCAAGTCTTTCGAGGTTTCAGCAAGAAAAGTTTCCCAGAGACAAGATCACTGCTTCATTGAAAACAAATATGAGTTCCAAGCTTTACTTATTTCAAACGTTACAAACTAAAAAGTATAAAAACAAAAACAAAAAAGTATACAAAAAGGAAGAAAAAAAGTCGCTCTTTGTTAGTCTTAAATGTTCACCCCGCTACTCTCATGTTAAGCGTTTCACAGCTTGCAGCAAGACTCAAAGCATCGTTAAACATGTTTCTTTGAGTTCTGATTTTTATATATTAAGTAATTTTTTTTCTACTACCAATTTTGGAGTGGTGGAACACAAAGGTTCAGAATTTATTCCACTACTTCAAAAATGTTTAATATATATTTGAATTGTTAATTCCGCGTTTGGGTGATTAATTGAGTAATTCGCCTTCAAGTTACGGTGAGTAAATTTGAAAAATAATGTAAAGTGCTTACCATCAATGCAACCAAAGGCACCTGGGAATAAAAACAGCGACAGACCAAAGGCACAAAGTTGGAGACAAATGTCCATGCTCGGCATTATCCCTACCATCTCACCTCAGTGCTTTGGATCGGAAACTGAAAACGTGCGCCCAAAAGGGGAAAAAAATATTAAAAGGCAGGATGACCCTATTAAATTTCCTCTCTCGCCTTCAAATAGCTATACAGAACTATGCCATGACAGCTTTCAGTATTCAACCAATAAGAGCGTACGGACAGCAAACAATGTTCCCCCATCTACGGGTAGCTATTGCAAATTTTCAATATCGCTGAGAGTGTTAATGGGCTATGCTTGTTATTATTTTGGTACCAAATTTGAACACGGTTTAAAGAACTGAATATACTCATTCTTATAACTGATTTCGATTTGAAGAAAGTGACATAATTTCGTAACATATCCACGAAAGTGACGAGAAACCGAGGTAGATTCTTGACACCTGTGGGGCTCGCTCAGCAGAAGATTCTTGCACCCACTCCCAGTAATTCTCCATGCATAAATGTTTCTAGATTACTCATGATCAAAAGTAGATAGCAGTTTTTCTCTCTTTTAGATTTATGGGAATTTGTGTATCATCTGTATTTGGAAGTGTAATAGTACCAAAAAGAGACAAATGTGATACTGATTAAATGTCTCACAAATGAAGCACCCTTCATGTTAACTTTAAGTGTTTACTAGCAATTTTCCCAGCCGGCAGCATTAGGGGTTTGTTTATCTTATATGTTTCCCTTATTCGATTTCATGCTGAATAAAATGTTTTCCCGAGTTTCACTTAGAACATGGAACCACCTAAAACTGTAGGTCATAAAAACGGTCAGTTTTGAAGTTAAATGAGAGTATGCTGTTTAGAAGCTAATAATCCGGGGGAGAGCCACACCTAATTGTTGCATTTATGATTCTCACAAAGCATGCGCTTGGAACTACCAACTACGGCCTTTTTTGTACAGTTTAATGATTACAAAAAAGGGGAAGCAAGGTTTAAAATATTGAGCCACATGGGGGAAATAGTTTAAACTTATGCGTCGCGAAGCTGTAAATTTAATGAAGGAGTAAATAAATCTTGCACAACACGTTCCTGTTTGGCTGATGTTTACCATGTGGTTGGCTCATTTTGAGTAAACTGAGACAATTCAATTAAACCTTTCTAGCAAAAAGCCTGTTACTAAATATAAAGGTGACATTCAGAATCCACCTGCGGTTAATGTACTCCCTTACTAAGTTGACAATAAGGATTTTAGGAATATAAAGTATAACAAAATTATTATAATTTTTTTTAGTTATGTTTTTTATTAAAATTATTTTTTATCTTTTAAGGGCTGGGATAACTTGGAAAATAATCATAGCTACAAGGCGGATGATTGATTTGAAGATCAAAATATCGGTAGGAATAGTGAACTAACTAAGCTCAAGTAAAGAGTGCAGACTTAAAAGTTAATTATATCCTTCGGTTTTGCAACCACAAAGAAAAAGTTGAGCTGATTCGAATGGAGGCGTGTAAGTAAAAGGTGCATGTAAGAATATATTTATAGACAGCAATTTTAAGTTAAAAAATAAATCGAAAATCTATCTGTCCAATGACGTATGTAAATCGTATTTATCTTCTTATTTAATGCAATGCTCAACTTAACTGTCAAAAAACGTCAAAGAATTTTTCTTGACTATCGGTAAGTTTCAGTTTTATAGGAGAATGAAATATGTCAGAAAAAAAGAAGAAAAAAGAAATAGACAATGAGCCTGTTGGCTCGGTCAGCTTGCAAAGAAGTAAGGACTGATGAACTGTCATTCATCGATCAGGGGCTTTACAACTGGGATCCTGTTTCATCCCTTTGTTTTATGACATTTTAATGTCCGGAACAAAAACTCATGGTTACTGAGGCGGGGAGCTTTAGCCTCCCACTTTTTCTAGAGGAAAAATGTTTTTGTATAAGTATAAGGTACATGCTGTATGCCGAGTACCTGTCATTGTACCCCTTATTCAGGTTGAGGTTTTTAGAGAAATATCTCACTAAGAATGTTGAAAATACCATGTCCGAGCCACTAGAGCCCCCTTAAGAAATCAAAGTCGCCTTTATTGTGGTTGCTCAAGCTTACTATTAGCGGTACCCCGCATAACAATTTTTGTTGAAAAAACCGACGAAACACCACGTCCGCAGGTACTCGTAGAGAGGTTCATGTTTCCATTACCTACAACTACTGATTCGCTTTCCGCGCCTTAAAGGGGCTATACTACGAGAATACTGCTATTTTGGGTCAATTCTGTGCTGAAGTCTTTAATAAGAAAATACATGATTGCTTACTTGAAATCCTTTTACAGACAGACGACTCTCCTGATCTACATACCTTTTTAGGACAAATGAAATAAATTGATCGTCCGTAACTCCCCCAATCATTATCTTTGCAATCGTCTTAATATTGTACTTGTAAGTTTCTGATTTATATTTTGTATTCCACTATTGTTTAACATAATTTATCTTTCTTTTCATTTGTAAATTTCTATAAATTACTTTTATTTACTTGCGAATTTAATTTGAATGGAGTGCGTATTTTGTATTGATATAGACACTTCCCACCTGGACTAGCTTTGGTTATTTGTGGGTACTTAGAAAATTAATAAGATTGTAAATTTGAATTAACCAAAAAGAATGAAATGAAATGAAGTCATTGCTTACTTAGTACTTTTAGCCGTTAATGTGAACGTCTTTTGACTTCGAGATATTTAGAGCAGGACTTTTAAGCTACGGTTGTACCTGCGTCCGTTGCGAACTGAACTGGAGTTCTGTTGTGTTGTTTCTAAGGAGAGTGGAAATGCGGAAATCCCTGAGAAAAACCTCCCGGAGCAAGGAAGATAGCTAACGGGAACCTCAATACACATGTGACGACTACTCCGAGAATCAAACCCGTCAGCAAGTCCCATCTCACCGACCGCTGCGCCTATTTGCATAAGATTGCGCTCAAGTCACGGCTGGCAGTCTAGTCTTAAAGGGGCTATGTCTCTAAAATATTATTATTTTAGGTAAATTCTGTGCCAAACTCATTAATAAGTGCCTTTACTGATTACTCAAACGGACAGACATTTTCGTAGCTCAAATGATCACGTAGAAATAAAGGTTTCGCACAATGTAAGGGAATCCAAGACAGTCCTGAATCCGGAATTCCACGCCGTGGATTCCGGATTCTAATACTGGATTCCAGTCTTTGCCAGCGGAACTTGGATTATGGAATCCAATCGTGTGTGACAAAATGTTATATTGAAAGCTAATTGTGTAACTTTGTTTGGCTTTCAGAAAAGTGCAAGTGTCCAAAAATAATGCTGTTGAAATTGCACAGGTTGTGATGGGGAGTCTGAGATCTCTTATTCCAAGCGCCAGGAAACACTGGTAATATATATTTTTGAAAAACACTTAACAGATAACAAGCTGTTCCGTCTGGGTGGCCTAGGTTGGTACTTACGTTACTGATGGCGTTACTGTCCGGTATCATCATGTGGGGACTGCTAAGAAGTGAACGAGTGCTCTCTGAGTAGCCTGTACCAGGCTGGCTATCTTTGCCAGATACTGGGTACGTCGCAAGAATAAAGTAATCCAAGCGCGCGCTATCTGAGAAAGGAACCGCTCTCTCTCTCCCCAGCCCCTGCGCGTTTTTTGCGTCACTTTTTACTGCACGACTCTACATTACTATCTTGAAGACTGGAATAGGATATCCCTGGGGAGTGCACAGTGTTACCTAGAGACTAGCTTTTTGCAGCTCTCGGCTAAGAGAGCTTTCCCATTGTCGCGTAATTTTTACTTGCGTACGTACGTAAAATTTACCTTTGCAAATAATAAAGGCAATGTATAGAACGTCTCACGTAAAAGTTGAACCTCGCTCAACTTCACGTTTAAGTTCGTCACTTTACGTGCGTGTACACGCACGGAAAGATTACGTGACGGTGGTAATCCACCCTAACAGAGGCCTTCCCTAAAATCCCTGCTGGTTGAGTAAGAGAGGTGGATACTAAGTAGATGTTGTTCTTATTGTTTAGTAGCAATTCATTTTTTTTCAACCGGACACGCAGTTCATATCAGGAACGGATAAGTTCTCATTACAAAATCCCTTTAAGCCTTTAAAGTTACTTCGTAATTATAAAGTTTCAATAGATCGCTTAGTATCGGAGGCACCCAA